CTATTTCATTACATTGATTTCTTTTTCAAGTTATTAAAAACGTAAGCGTCTTTCACTTTATTTTGTTTAGGTAAAAATTGGCACAAAATTAGTTTTAGTTAGAGCGTAACACCGATAAAACAACCACAGGAACCAATAGAGCCGTACAACCGTACTGACACCAACATTACGTATAGTGTTAATCCTAAATCAAGGAAAACCTTAAAAATGTTATAGGCAGATATATAAAGGATTTTTCACGAACAACCTGTCAATATAATATGTTAAAAAGTACGTATAACGCAAACATAGCGAATAACATAGCGAAGACGTCAGCTTTTAAACTTGAGGAAAATGTTAAGATGAAACAAACAGACCGTAACCAGCAATTTAGAATTGATTCGGGCAAAGTACTTTTATTATTTCGTCATTTAAGTACAATAAATGGAGTTTACTCGTGATCATTAAAATTAAGCTCGTCTTTTTTATAAAATATAAGTTGTAAGAAAGAGGAATATTATTATTTTTCTGTCAGAATAATCAGATAATATTTATTAACAACTAGCGATACGCCTCGGCTTTGCACGGGTGCAAAAAGGTACCGGGTTCAAATGTGAATCTAAACCGTCCAGGAATCCATTCAAACACCCAAAAAATTTCAACAACATTGCTCGAGCCGTTTTTGAGTTTTAGCGAGTCTAACGAACAGCAATTGATTTTTCTATATATATGTAGAGATATACAGGATTAAGTTTCTCGTTGATAATTTAATAATACTTTTATTTATGTTTAGGTTACACACCAAAATAATACAGATGTAAATAATACTAAGGTACAGGAGAAACTGTAGAGTTATGAGTGTAATGTATGCATGCAACTTTGTAAAGTTTAACGGCGGTCCTATGGGCGACATAAGTACCAGCAGGTGTAGAACTAAGAGGTTGTTAGAAATTTTAATACTAGGGCTTATCTTCAGCAATAACTTTGTATCAGATATTTAACAAGAAGTGTATTAATACAATTTTATATGGTTGAAAAATTAACTTTATTATGTACTGGCGATCCGGCCCGGCTTTGCACGGGTGATTTTTGGATCTCGACAACAGCGACACCTACCGGCTCCAAATTTAAATTTAAATCATTGAGGGACCCATTTAAGCACACACAAAAAAATCATCAAAGTCGGTCGAGCCGTTTTTGAATTTAAGCGAGACTAATGGACATCAATTGATTTTTATTTATAAAAATTTAGTTAAAATAAGAAAATTTTGTATGAATTTATAATAACGCGAAGTTAATATATTTTAAAATAAGCCATTTCTCTACCTATCTCTTTGTTGTTTTGAGTGTGATATCGGTATATGATACTCCAATTTATTTTAATGAAATACTCTTACAAAAAATTAAAACAATTGTAAAAGAAAAAAATGTTATTCTTAAACAATTATTTTAATTTAGTATTAAGCGTTGTTTGATTGGACTACAGATGTTTAAGATTACAAAAGATTGCAAGTGTTCAAAAAATGAAGCACCTAATAGTCGAAACCGATATCCACTAACAATAATACAAATTTTACCAATTCCACTCCAATCAATCAATCCGGACCGTGTAGTGGCGGTGTAAAAGAATTCTACTAATATTCCCGCTAACCAAGCCAACTTGTGTCGAGACAATTGTCAAATGGTGGATTCAAACTCACGAATTATAAGATATTAGTCCGCAACTTTAATGATTTGGATATTGCCACCTGAATTATGTTATTAAATATGTATTCAAAAGTTACAGTCAGTGTTGTGCACAGGCCTTTTCTCATTTCTGTCTCTCATTTCTGAAAGGGTTTTAAGGTAAGGAAATATCAATTCGTGTTGGCGGACTTCACATGTCTTCGAATTTTTTTTTTCATATTTCTCAGATATGCAGGTTTCCTCACGATATTCCCTTCACCGCTGAATATGTATTAAATATTATTATCATATGCATTAATTTTTTTAATGTTTAACGTTAGAATTTCCGCCGCGCCATGTTGTCCCGTGGTTGTCGTAAGGTAACTGACTATAGTCAATGCGAGGATTATCTCATGGCTTGCGATAAATGGCGGTATGAAAATGTCGTTTTTCAGACGGAAAATACTACACAGAGCTTCAACAGGGTGAGACGTCCGTTACTGCGACCGTCCGTCCGTCTGCCAAGCATTAAAACTAATACGCCTGGACGTGGGCTCCTCCCATTGTTACGGGTTGATAAAAAAGAAGAAGAACTATGAAGTATCCGATTATTGCGTCGCATATTCCAAGTTCAGGTTGCAGCCAGATCCAACATAATATATTTAAAAAAATTACTTAGTAAATAAAAAAAATGACTCAATAAGTATTAAATCTATATTGAATAAAAATTGTTCTATTCTGTTAAAAAATAAATCCAATCTTCTCGTAAACGTTTCGAGTGTGAGAATACTAAGCAATGCCTATAACGTTTTCACCTTCGAATCCAGCCCAAAAGTATTATGTTTTGAACGCTATCATGCAATCGGATGTATAGTCTGTCACAATGTTTTTCATTTCATGGAGTAGTGGAGATGTAAGAGATTCCATTACATCATTCGTCTCTGTGCGGCAGGTACAGTAAAAGGTAACTATAAAACTTACTACATCAATCTAATAGCCCATATCTGCAATCCGATGGATGGAACTTTTAATAGAAATAGGAGACTGGGATAACTTTATGATAATTTTAATGATAGGTGAGAAATTAAGTCAAGTTTTCTTTTCCAAATAATTTTATAAAATTTTCTTAATTATTTTTCTTAATTACATCTGGATAGGTTATGTTAGGTTAGGTTCTTCACGAATCACGAATCAGTCGGATAAGAGTGTTTTTTCTCATTTTTTTACTTGCCATTTATATTTATTATATTATCCTGTATCATATATTTTAGTACGCCGAATACATTTCATTTTTGTCTTAAGTAACTTTGACATATTGAAGTTGATATTTTTCGTAATATTTTCCGTGTAAGTGGCAGTTTCAATTTGGAATAGAGCCAAACATTGCACGGTGCATTGTCAAAATTACTGAACACAGTATTTCTTGTAATACGAGTATTACAAAAATGCAGAGAGTGAAGTTTAAAATTTGACTTTTACACTAGAAAATGTTTAGGCTTTCACGCGACTTCTTTGCATAGATTTGATGCAGTTACCCTTATGGGATCTAACAAAACATTCGAAGCTTTTTTTTACAAATGAAGGAGTGAAAATGATCACATATTCCACTTGGTTGTAAGTGGATGCTGTAGCCCACAGACACCTATTCTCGATTAAGAAGCAAAAAGCACTTATTATTATCTATAAAGTTTTCTCATCTGGTTGGGCAGTATAAATATATAATTGTAAATGAAAATGGTAAACATACATAAATATGAATAAAATAAAATAAATACATAAAAAATACATAAATATATAAAAACCCAACCAGATGGAAGCCCTCGGCAGGGGAGACCAGACGGCCGAGGGTTAGGGGGAAAGGGAAAGAAACCGGCGGACGATGCGGGCGGTATCGAGGAGCACCGCCTTCTGCATTTGAGCCTGGAGCGGTCCGTCACGGTGTCCCAGTCGCCTCAGATGACCCGGGAGGCTGACTGGGATTAACCCGTTCGCAGAAACGACCACAGGAATAATTTCGGTCGGCAGACCACCCCACATGCCGGTAACCTCGTGAGCCAGGTCCAGAAATTTTGTCACCTTATCTGTTTCGGCTTTCACGAGGTTCTCGTCATAAGGAATGGTAATGTCGACCAAAAAGATCCTTGACTGTGCCCGGTCCATCAGCACAATATCAGGCTTATTCGCAAGAATAGTCCTGTCTGTGATGATGGCCCGGTCCCAGTAGAGCCTGGCGCGGTCATTTTCGAGCACGGCTTCCGGCAAGTACTTATAATACGGCAGTTTCCGATCCACGAGGCTGTATTTCAGAGCGAGCTCCTGGTGTAGAATCCTGGCTACTAGATTGTGTCTGTGCAAATACTCAGAGTTAGAAAGCGCCGAACAACCGGAGATGACATGCCTAAGTGACTCACCGGGATGGCGACAAGTTCGACAGATGTCGACGGCGCCATTCTTTAGGATGTATCTCCGATAATTGTTGGTCTTAATAATCTGATCCTGTATCGCACAGACAAAACCCTCGGTTTCCCCAAAGAGGTCACCGAAACGTAGCCAGTGAAGGGAGGCGACTGTGTCTACGAAAGGCTCATGTAGAGCCTTGTAGAACCTCCCATGGAGCTCCTTCTCCTTCCATACGGTCTCCTGGTAGGAAATGCACTGTACTGCTGGGTCTTGCCATTGCTCGTTGGCTAAGGATAGAGGGGTCAGTCCTTTATCACAAGAAATAACGTCCCTATAGTATGGATCATCCGCTCTCGTCAGAAAGTAATTACGGAGGCTGCACACTTCGCGATTATGCGTGGTAAGCGCGCTTAAAAAGCCGCGCCCACCATGCTTCCGCGGCAAGTACAGCCTCATTACTGACGATTTCTAATGATGCATCCTGTGGGACGTCATTATAGTGCGGACTTTTCTGTCCAGAGCGTTTAGTTCGGTCTGAGTCCACCTAAGTATGCCAGAGGTATACATGAGAACAGGCATGACCCAACCGTCATATGCGTGCGTCTTATTCACACCAGACAAAAGGCTGTTAAGCACTTTGGTCAAGCGTGCATAAAACACATCGCAAACTGACTGTTTCATACCCGCCTCATCTACACCGATGTTCTGTGACTGGAGGCGAATAACTTGAGATCATCCATATAGAAAAGGTGGGTCACTTTTGTACCTCCCCTCCGAAGCTGAAATCCCCTCCCGGAGCCCTCCAGTAAGGTACTGAGAGGGTTCAGAGAGAGGCAGAACCAGATTGGACTCAGACAATCGCCCTGGAAGATACCCCTTCTTATCCTTACGTGGTTCTCCGCAGCCGTCATCCGCTCGCCTAGATGACAAAGGATCGTACTCCACTGCCCCATACACTACCCAAGGAAGTCTCTAACTGTACAGTCAACCTTGTACAGCTCGAGGACCCTCCTCAGCCATGTATGAGGCACCAAGTCGAATGCCTTTTTGTAGTCTATCCAGGCGGCGGATAGGTTCCGACGGTTGCGTTTAACCACTTTGCCAATGACCGCGTCAATGAGGAGTGGTTCCTTGGTTCCACGACCACCGCCCCAACATCCATTTTGAGCGCGCGACATCACCTGATTTGAGTTCAGGTGACGAGTGATTCTCGCGCTCAAAATGGATGTTAGTGTCTTATATATCGTGGGTGGACACGTGATGGGGCGGTATTTGCTCGGGTCTATGGTATCCCGGTCTTTAGGAATCAAATGAGTGATCCCAGTAGTGAAAAGGCTCGGGAGCGACTTTTGGTCGAGAGCCTCTTGAAATTGTCGGGCGAGCACAGCGTGACATACCACGAACCCCTTCAGCCAGTAGTGATGCAGCCCGTCGAGCCCCGGACTTTTCCAGTTCGGGGCCCTTCGGACCGCCTCAGCTACATCGTCCGGCGTTATAATGACGGGATCCATGGGCGTAAGATTCGCACACTGACTCACCACAACTTCCGTCCAAGGGCCCTCGCTGTGGTTTACGGGCTCTGACCACAGGCCGCGCCAGAATGCGACAGTGTCGGCCTGATTCGGTGCTTGGCCCGTTCCACATACCATTGGTCGCTCCAATGATTTATATTGCCTCTTCTGATCACTCTGGAAGAGACGATTCTGGTTGAACCGTGTCGACCTCTCGGTATATCGCCGAATCCGCTTCCCCCAAGCAGCGATTCTTTGCTTCAGGTCGTCTTTGCGCTCCGTCAGTTTTTGCGTTATATCCGGCTGGGACAAACTGATATTTGTCCCAGCAAACGCCATTCTGACGGTGCGCACAATTCGCGGCCTATTATTGCCCGACCTGAAGCTTATCAACCTGCCGATGAGGGCCCTTGCCTTTACGATACGGTCCTCAATCCTTCTTCTCCAGGCTGGGATGGCGCTGCTTTGTCTAGTAGCGCGTCCAGCCGTGGGAAGTTTGGCGCCAACAATACGGCAAACTGCCAGTGCGGCGCCAAAAAGAATTGAGTCCGTCTCGCAAAGGTCCCGGCTGGCTTCCAAATAGGTCACCAGCATTGGGTTGAGAGCCCTCACGACAGCCCGATTCCGCTTGCTTAGGGGTATGCGTGCGGTCGATTTTCGAGAGGCGTACTGCGCGTTTCCACAATCGCCTCCTCCGATTTACTCCTCATCTGCTCTAGTTTTTGGGTGACCATTCCATCATCGCCTGAATCAACCAGAGCAGGGAGATCCATGGCGCCCTCTATATGTGGCTGCTGGTCTGTGGCCTGAAGAGCCGCATCCCCAGCTATAGCTGGTTCATTCGATGAGGGAATAGCCTCACGTCGTAGTCGTTCGAGTTCGGCATCATTAAATATTTTCGAGCGTATGATGTACCGAACTCGGTCTGCCAGGTTCTGCTCCGTGACGGGAACTGACGGCTCAAACTCAGCAAAAAAGCGATGCATCCGAGCCCGATACGCTATACCTCCAGTTTCTTCCCCTTTTATTTATTTTATTATTATTATTATTATTATTATTAATACTAGTCTGGAATAGCCCACTGCAGAGCAAATGCCTCTCTTCTGTCTCTCCACAGCTACCACGGACTGGTCCTTCATGAAGGAGTTCAGTTCATCCCGCCATCTCTGCCTGGGTTTGCCTTACTGACGTTTAATTTTATAGGGACCCAATGGGTTGTCATTTTGAATCATTGGTCATTTGGCATTCGTCAGATTTATCAAGCCCAATCCCATTTTAGCATTCAGTTTTTCGTGTGACATCAGCATTTTCCGATTAGGAACGGATTTCGGTATTCCTAATCCGGTCTACAAGGTTAATGCTCAAAATACTCTGTTCCATTGCTCTTTGTCAAACCACAAGCGTGGACCTCTGCTGGACCGTCGAAGACCATGTCTGGGCACCATAAGTGAGGATGGAAAGTTGCACATATCTATGAGTCTCCTTTTCAAGGACAGTGGAAGATCACCCTTCGTAAGATTTTTCGCAGACCAATAGCACTTAGAGGCGTTTTCGGTGTGCCTTTCAACTTCTTTGTCTTGTCTTGCCTGAAAACTACTTTTTGGCCCAAATAGAGATACTCATCGACGTATGCAATCTCTACACCATCTACAGTAATCATGTGATGTGTGCCGTTCGTCATCAACTTTGTCTTTCACATGTTCATTCGAAGTCCAACCTCGAGGCTTGCCTTGCTAAGATCGTCTAACATTTGAGACAACTCGTCACCTGAAGACGAAAAGGGGACAATATCGTCGGTTAGACGGATAATTAGATTGGATAATCACACACGTCCAACTTCTACATATATACCTCTACATACCTCTTCTGATATGGCCGTAAGTAGTTTTGGAGATAGTGGGTTTCCTTGTTTCACACTTTTACTTATGCAAAAAGATGAGCTTGTCACAGGATGATCTTATAATGATCTTAATGGAATTAAAAAATTAAATTAAAATCATCATTATCATCATTATTACAGCCTTTCATAAGTCCACTGCTGAACATAGGCCTCCCGCACTAAGCACGGTCCTGAGCCACCTGCATCCATCGACTTCCTGCATGTATTACCAGTTCGTCACTCCATCTCGTGGGGGTCGCCCTACACTTCGCCTACCGGTACGAGGCTGCCACTCAAGAACCATTCTTCTCCATCGGTTGCCGGTTCTTCGAGCTATATGACCGGCCCACTGCCACTTCAGCTTACTAATCCTTTTGGCTATGTCGGTTACTCTGGTTCTACTGCGGATATCCTCATTCCTAAGTTTATCACGCAGAGAAACTCCGAGCATAGCCCTCTCCATAGCCCGCTGAGCGACCTTGAGCTTCCTCATACGGCCAGCAGTGAAGGACCACGTCTCAGTTCCGTAAGTCATCACTGGCAACACGCACTAGTTGTACAATTTCGTTTTAAGGTTTTGAGGTATGACTGACGAGAAGATGTGTCGTAGCTTCCCGAACGCTGCCCAGCCGAATTGAATACGTCGATTGACCTCTCGGTCGAAGTTTTTTTTTTATAGGACCGGGTGACAAACGAGCGCACAGTCCACCTGATAGTGTAGTGGTTACTGTGACCCATAGACATCTACATCTATCCTCAATAAAGACTCAAGATGCAGATGCAGATGCACCCGTGAGGACTAAGATGGAATGCCTCTTTGCCAGTAAAAAGGGTCTCCGGTTCTCTACACTCACCATACGAAACACAGCAGCGTTAAGCTGCTATTTTACGCTGGTTTTCTGTGAGAGCGTGGTCCTTCACCGTTCGAGCCGACCCATTCGTGCTACAACCATAATATAGCTGCAGCATGGCTCTACCACGTAGAAAACTTGGACTTACCTATTCGGATTATTTGTCCCAGGTAAACATACTCGTCTACAACTTCGAGCTTAGTACTCCCAACAACTACCGGCATAGGTGTGACATGGACATTAAACATAATCTTTGTTTTGTCCATGTTCATCTTAAGACCTATCTGTTGGGAGACACTATTGAGGTCATTGAGCATAGTGCTTAGGTCCTCCAGCGATTATGACATAAGGACTATATCGTCGGCAAATCGAAGGTGAGTTATGTACTCGCCATTGATATTAATACCGTATCCTTTCCAGTCCAGAAGCTTGAAAACGTCTTCCAATGCAGCGGTGAAGAGTTTCGGGGATATAACGTCACCTTGTCTTACACCTCTCTGTAATTGGATAGGTTTCGTACTCTGGTTCTGTACTCGGATAGCCATCGTAGCTCTACTGTACAAGCACTTCAGCACTTCGATATACCGACAGTCAACTTGGCACCGTTGAAGGGACTGCAGCATCACCCAAATTTCGACGGAATCAAAGGCTTTCTCATATTCCACATACAAATTGTACTCCTCGGACTTCTGTACAACTTGCCGAAGGTTATGTATGTGGTCTATGGTGCTAAAGCCCTTTCGGAAACCGGCTTGTTCGGGAGGCTGGAAGTCGTCAAGTCTGCGTGCAAGACGATTCGTAATGACTCTCGAAAACAGCACGTAGACGCGGCTCAGAAGGGAAATCGGTCTGTAGTTCTTTAAAAGAGCATTGTCACCTTTCTTGAAGAACAAGACCACCGCACTTCTGCTCCACGCCTCCGGTGTAATACGACCACGGAGGACGGAATTAAAGAGCCTCTGAAGGACGTGCAGTACCGGTTTTCCATCCGCTTTCAGAAGCTTCGCTGTAATTCCGTCCTCGCCTGGGGCCTTGCCGTTTTTAAGATGTTGGAGAGCCATTCTAATCTCGCTCAGACTGACGTCCGGGATATCTTCGGAATAGTGTCGGATAAGACTGGCTCTTGTATCGTTACTCACACTTGCGTGTGGCTCCAACGATGACGTGTACAGCTGTCCATAGAACCTCTCAATCTCACTCAAAATCTCAGGTGCTCCGGAAACGATGCTGCCACACTCGGTCTTCGCTTGATAGTTGGCTCTTTCTGGCAGACAGATCTCTGGCAAAGACTTTGGAGCCTTGGTTCCGCTCGATCGCTTCTTCAATACAAGCTGTATTAAAGTTGCGTAAGTCCCGCCGCATGCATTTGGAGATCTGTCCGTTCAGTTGCCTGTATGCTGTCAAATCTGTTGAAGAATGTAGCTTCATCTCCCGTCTAACAGCAATGCGATTAAGAGTGTGATCGGAGAGTTTTTGTGTTCTTCTGCGGCGGGTTTTGTAGAATTTAGCTCCGACCGCACGAGCTTGTCATTCATATCGTCCACTTCATTGCAGTCTTCTAGGCACTAAAAACGGTTTTGTAACTCGAGCTGAAAGGTTTCGGGACTTTGGAACAGAGCACGAGGGCGACGGAGCGTTGACTTTATTAGACGAGACCTCTACAACTTAACGTTTAGGTTCTGTGTGCCTCTAATTATTCGGTGATCGCTACCAGTTTTCACCCTCGCGATCACGGAGACATCACTGAACAGTTGTCGTCTAGTCGTCATAATGAAGTCAATCTCATTTTTGTTGAACCGTCGGGGCTCGACCAGGTCCACTTCCTGTGGGGCCGCTTCTGGAAGAAAGAGTTCATCATAAAGAGTCCATGAAGTCGGCCAGCTGCTGGCCCCTTGGGTTCCGTTGCCCTTTTCCAAATTTCCCTACTTTCAGCTCACCGTTCTCTCTTGTGCCTAGTTTTGCATTGAAGTCTCTCATTAACACCGTATATTGGGTTTTGGAGGAATGCATGGCTTTAGAGATATCCTCATACATTTCCTCCACCTCCTCATCGGGATGCGCCGAGGTTGGTGCGTAAACCTGTATAACCTTCAGCGAATACCGTTTGGTGATTCTGAGTATAAGGTACGCAACCCTCGTCGACACACTCTCAATCTTTACAACGTTGTTAAGGAGAGACTTGTGGACGATAAATCCGACACCTCCTTGGGACAGATGGTCGCCCTCCCGGTGATAGAGCAAGTTGCCGGCTTCGAGGATTACCGTGTCCT